GTCTGATTTCTTTTTAATTATAGGAAATACGTTTTTCTAAGGTACATAAACATTTGGGATTGACTGTATAGCCAATACATCCTTAAAGTATTAATTATTACATTATTACTTATATTATATTCATACTATTAGAAGGCTGCCACTCGAAAATTAGTTGAGATCCAACCTTAAGATTTGAGTATGATATTTTTGAAGGTATAAATTTTCGAAAAATGCAAAAAGAAATCGACTTTTTTTAAATTTCACAATGGGTAGGCCCCTTAATGCACCACCTGTATATCTCGTAAATAATGATTCGATGTTAAACAGTAAAGTAAATGTAGTTTGTACACCCCGTTTATGTTAAACAACTTTATCGTTTTGTTTCTGTCTCCAGAATCGCTCGGCAGCAGTTCCGTTGTCACGAAGCCTAAGAGAAGAGCTCATTTGCTCAAGAGGAAAGCTCTCACCACCGGCTTCTTCGACAACAAGGGAAAAGATGATAAGGATAAGGGTGAGTGATCAAACAAATTATCTATATTATGTACAAACCAGCAGAAGTTTGTTGAGTCTTCGAATAACGCGACGTTTCAGTTAAGGTCGCAAGATGCACGTACAAGTGCGTTAAAGACGTATGAAATCTGCAATTTTTCCCCACGGTTTTCCATCAATAGAAATTCGCTCCTAGAAAGTGTCAATAATTAAACGCGGTAAATTAAGTACGCAGTTTAATGCACGGAAAGATTTATGAAGCGTTTATTTGTTTGGAAAATAACTAGTTCAGCTATTTTCAGGTGCGATTCTGTTTGCGAGAATAAGTGGTGGCTGTAGCAGCTAGTGATTCTATCATTTTATGTATGTACGTTTACCACACACATCCCCTACGGACGTAGTACATAGTATACTGTATTTCAATCTAGCAAAGACAAATATTATGATTGGGACAAATTCCGTCCGCCTCGTGCCACCTCATCTCCAATTCCACCGCTAATAATTGCGTAAATTGACAACAAAGACTGCTTCCACTCGTTGAAAATACATACGCTCATAGTATACACCATTTACGCATTGTTCAAACAATATATGTATTTCATATCGCGTGATACGCGTGACAGGAAGATTTTCGAGAGGAATAAATCTTCACATTTTCCTTATACAAATGAATCCTCCTCCCCTCTGTCCCTCTCCCCTTTCTCTCATCGTACTCTTTTCTCTTCTTTCCTTTTAGTAAAATGAAACATTAAGCTGTTCTTACGCCCTCGCAGTGTCCCCTCTTAATAACGTCCAAAGCAAACATGGTTGAAAGCTGTCTTTGAGAATTGTTAATTTTCGCGGTTGGACATTGCGACTTACTATACGTTCATCGCGTATGGGTTTTATACATATAGTACAGTTCAGTTGTCGATCTTCTGTTCTGTTTGTGAAGCACTCGTGGGAGGATAGAAGTTACACGTGGAGTTGGAACGAACGGCCAAAAAGCGCTGACGCACGTGTGCATAACCGCGAGATAATGTCGCGGTGTTCGCGTGTTTCTGCAGACTGGAATTTTTTACAGTTGATCGATACCTGCGGAGTTTCCAAACCGTTTCTATGGATACTTGGTATCTCCGCAGAATTCTCTACACACTTTTCACAGTTCATTCATTTTTATGACCGTTAATTCTATTCCTAAAAAAAGTTTCTTAACATTGTAAACGTTGTCCAGCTTATAAAGCGTTGAAGGTCTAACTGTGACAAGTTAGACGCTCAGTTTCCACTTCACTTTATTTCAATTCGCAATTAAACTCGAGTACTCATTGAATTTCAACAGCGACGTACTCGAGTACTCATTGAATTTCAAAGGCCGCGTTTTCACACGTTCAATGCATTGCGTTGCACACGAACAATAATTATTATTCCGGGCTTTCCACCTCGGTTGGGAAAGTGGAGACGGGGAAAGGCAGCCGCTGTCGTATCCCCATGTGCTCTAACACCGCGCAGGCAACAGCGGCCAGCGTGGTATGAGACACAATTTCGCTGGATATAATTAGCCACGGGGTGCTCGGTGGCAGTGCATATTTCCGCATATACCGGGTTTATTTGCGGTTCGCGCCGGATACGAGTGCCTCGAGGACACCGGATGTCATGTCAATCGGGAATGGGAATGGTCGTAACGACACGGGGTCGTGAACACTCCGAATCCTCACTCCTTTCCTTACTCTCTTGGAAACGTGTGTTGCAGGAACGCCAAGTTCCTACGTTTATTTGTTATTTGTATTTACGTCGTGTGTTTCACGAATTTTCTCTCATATAAATTCAAAACAAAGTGACAATTTGATAATGTGAAAAAGACTGATGACTTTGAACGAACAAGGCCAGACCTAATAAAGCAGCCGGAAAAACAGTGATTGTAAATATTGTCGATCGAGTCGGTCTCGTTTTCTAGAAAGCTTAGCAGCGTTTAATCATCGAAGAGAACTCTCGAAAATTCGATGATACAATTTCCTGCGCGACCCATGTGTTTGCCAAATCTCTCTTTGCCAATAAAACCATCCATGAACCATTTTCTTCGTTCACCACCGCGGAATCGCGAAAACAAACGTCACACCATTGCCGGATCGCAATGTCGAGTCACCAAAATCGCTGATCAGCGTCCACGATTCAGAGCCTCGCAGAGCAGGGCATGGATGACCCGGCGCGTAAAAGACACGTGTGCGTAGCTCACGTGTTCCGAACGTGGCAGCGCTCTAAAAGAGAACGTCATTTAAGTGACGTCCCCTCGTATAATCGAATATGTCAGAGTTTCGCGCGGTAGCTTCCTCTCTCTCTCTCTCTCTCTTTCCATCTCGACGTAGTCCCGAAGCCAGCTAAAAGCCGAAAGGCAACAAACCATGTCTCTATACTGGTCCGATTATAGACCACAATCTGGGCCATCCCAGCCTTTCCAAACGAGCACTCTCTCTGACTCTCACTCTCACTCTCATTGTGGCAGGAACGTCGACCGCTCTCAGGAACCCGACAATGGACCTAGAGCACACAGCCTTTTCTTGGAAGTCTCAAAATCACCCGCGACACTTTCCCTCTCTACCACTTTCTCTGTGCTTCGCTTCGAAACTCGTTTCATTTCCGTTTCGCTAAGCGCTGAAATCAATTCTCTTCCACTGGTCAGTTGATATTATTATTGGACTACATTTGTTCCACGGTGGCCCTTTATAGATTGGCGTGTTGCTAAAATTATTTTTATGCTTCCAACTTGTTGATTCTGATTTATGATACGTTCCTCTGTTGAAACATTTATGTGAGAAGTGAGAACTTTTAGAGAAAACATTGTTTTCTTACAATTAATATAACGTAAAGTTGTATTCTTTGGGATGCCTAGTTTTCATTCGTCAGACGAATTGACAATGTTTTGTGCGATTGCGATTAATATTCTGGGAAATTAATTAGTGAAGATGTAAGAATAATTCTTTAGAACACATTAGAGAGGGTGATTGTTATTCGCGTGTACATTTGGCAAGCTGCGAGAATCAATTGAGAGGTAGTAAGATGAAATTCGAAAGGTGGCAAGACGCCGTTCCGCGAACTTAGCCGATGGCGCACGGTTTAGTACCGAAAATAAAGCGACCGATGCATTCATGGCCAGTCGGAATATTATCAAACGCGCCACGTCGCTAGAGGCGACTTTAAAGTATGTGCGACGATTCTCAAAGTTTGCTCCGACACATTCTACAAATGAGTCTGTACACCGTGTAAATAAAAATCATGAGAATCCTCCTCCTCCTCCTCCTCGATTACATTGATCGTTGTATTTATACTGTAGACTTGGTTTTTTATATGAAATAGAATTTGAACAAAGGGAAACGTACTTATTGGTTTAACTTGTTACTCTTGTTCGAAGAGAATTTTCTATGAATTGCACAGGCGATTCGCACGCGAGTAAATAAGCCCTGTTTACGCGAATGGGACGCAGCTGACTACTCGTAGATCAGATCGGATCTCCTTCTTGGCCAGTTGATCGAGGCGTTCCCAAATTAAATGATCCGACGTACCAGATTGAAAAATAACGATCCCAATATTCCACTTTATAATTGTCCTAATCCTTTCCTACCAGTATACACTCTAATTTTTCTCGCCATATAAACGGATTTAAGACGCACTGTCCAAAATCTTACTTTGCTGAAAGTTTCACATTTCCAGAAAAATACCGCTGCTGTATGTGTATTGTAACACGAGACAAGAATGAGCCTCGAGACGATCCACGGGATTTTTCCGTTCTTTATTTCAGATTCGGCCGGTGGCCTGGTATTTGGCATACCGTTGTCACAGTGTTTGGAGAACGATAGGATCGCTAGAATCGCTGCTGGTGAGGTCTCGGACGTCGGCTGTTTGTCGAGGAGCAGCAGACACGGCAGCAGAACGAGCTTCACTAGTTTAATCGAACAGACCGTCGCGGCTAAAACCGACGAGGTAAGTAGTCCGACTCTTCTGCTCATTGTACTGCACCCAACTCAATCAACTTAAATATTTTTAACAAAGAGCAGAATAAATGTCTGAACAAACACATTTTATTAACGATCTGTTCAGATGCTGCTTCAAATTTCTAACGATTTCGCTGCGGTTCCTTGTTCCCCGCGGAACACTGTCGCGCGAGCGTCAAGTAGTATAAGTCCGTACACGGTCAGGCGACAGCCACTTACTACTACCATTCCACCTGATACAATCATCAATTTTTTTTTACATTCATTTCTACCAGCAATTTAGAAGGAACACCGAACGGTAAAATTCATCATATTAAAAGTGTATTTCTTCCAAAACATTTCCAACAGCGTATACAGCTTTTTTCTCGTGGCTAGCAACAAAGCGACCTGTCTTCTAAACAATAATGTCACATACCTAGATTCTCGGGCGTAGCCGGTATGAATTTTGAAACGGATAAGTTTTCTCGATCGCTGATAAAGACGCGAAGGGGCTGCTCCCACGCGCGCATGAAACAAATCATCTGTTCCTCATTGACGCGATTTGATCTGCAGACAAAAAATGCTGTCGATCTATTCGACAGAGAATCTAGCTTCTTCCTCGTAGTTATTAGAAAAATAGATAGCATAGATTTCTTTTTAAATATCGCCATCAGGAGTAAATTTTAATGAGAAACTAGATTCGTGTGATTAAGTGGTGACATGATACGAACAATATTTAACTGAAAACTGTTTAAAAGTGTCTTATAATTCTTTCGCGGGATAGAGACTATACAGTTTCAAGCAATTTTTATACGCTCATGGTGTTACGTAGAAGAGGAAGCGAAAGAGCTAGAAGCCTGTCGCAGAATCGGCGGCGAATGCGATCATGAACGGCGTCACGAATTGCGTCAGTGTTGATGAGCGCAGCGAGCGGGGCGTTTATCGATGGCCACTTTGCGAGTGAGGGGCGCGAGACAAGACGAGTCGAGCGACGACGGGCCGCAAGTGGTTATTTTTTGACGGATACGTCAGACGGCGACGACGCCGGCTTCACAGTCCGTTTATCCTATATTCTATCGCGGTGCACCGTGACCGAGGAAACGCGCGCGCGCCTCGTTGCCAAATTCTCATACCGGATTTAAACTAACAGATTCGTGCAATTAAATGCCAATGGGCGACCGCGTAACGTCACGCCTTGACCTTTCTCGATCTAGGCGATTAGAGTCGATGATTGCATAAAGTTTGGAGAACGGTGAGACATTGACGAAACTGGTATTGGGTACAGAAATACGTGTCAAAGTCTACGTGTCTCGGTTTCCAGATTTATTTAATATTCCAAAAATTTTCCGTCAGTTCAATACTTGAAATTATAAAGGCAGTAGTCAGTGAAAGAAAAGTCTATTCTACATTTTCGACTTATTCTTTTATATACGATCATCACCCGGTAGTAACATCAGTTATCGGCCACCCTGTATATCTTTCCGAATCTATTTCTTTTTCCTCTTTTTGAACCGCTACCTCTACAGCGACAGGAAGTAAATGTTTTGATTTCGGAAGCACCGGCGCCACCTGGACAGAGAGCACGAATTTTCTTCTCTCGCTTCGCTCTCTCTCTCTCTCTCTCTCTCTCTCTCTCTCTCTCTCTCTCTTTTTTAACATTTTCCATCCGAGAACATTCGGGCGTTCGGGCGTTATTTTAAGAAAATCGAAGATTCGACCCGCGCCTCTTGATTTACACGATCCGATCTAATTCCCGAACGTTTACATTTTTGCGTATTGATTTTTCGGTTTATGGCGGTCCGCGGAATGATTTGTAGGTGCCCGAAAATTACTTTAACCAGACGCATCTTTGTACTTTGATACGGTGCCGTCTGCCGGTTCATCGCACTTGATCTTTTTCTTATGACGCTCTTCCAAGTTAAATACATGAAGAAATTACATTTAATATAAAACACGTTACGCGAGAACTTTCAGTATCAAACAGTTCAAATATCTTTTTTAAGATAAGAATCCGTACTGCATGGTTAACAACTAAAGCGCATGAAAATTAAGTACATTAATCGTTTCGTATACCCATTCTCTCACGTAGATGTATACAAACGACACGATTTGTTCTCCCTGAAAAGAAAATTGGAATGGTATTCGGAATGTAAATAATTGGAGGGTCCTTAGAAGCTCGCGAACTCGTTCGTGACGCAATCCATTCCGTGTGGGTGGAATGTTCCGAGTCACAGGCCGGATGTACCCCATGAGTTTCCTTCTTCTAGAAGTTCACAGGTTTCATCTAGTCACCATTTGTCTACTGACCCTGAATCGTCTACGAGACAGTACTGTAGAGACTCTTGACAAGGGTTGATTTCACTGTCGCATAAAAAAACAAGTGGTATTAGTAGAGCACAGCTAGTTGTAGCAGCGAATGGTTTTCCAATGGAGGAAGGGAGAGAGAGAGAGAGAGAGAGAGAGAAAGGAATCTAACATTCCAGCCTGAATTCCTTAAACTTTCCCTGGAAATAGACGATATTTCACGAAACAGAGAAGCGTGATTCACGTATTGTGGAAATAGCATCGATTTATCGCGGCGCCAATTACGACAATGCTCGGCTTCCATCTGTTCGAATATATCTGATTTATGTACTATTATAATAGAGAAGTGACTCAGAAATAAAAATTTCTCAAATAGGTTTCAAATTAGAAAAATCATGTTTTCTCAAACTTCTTCGTTACAGAGTAATACGTTAAATAAAGTGAGCATCGATGAATAAAATCGGTTCACATCGATTCAACCTCGTTGAATTTTGAACGTCGCGTCACGAGGCAGGTGAACTTTACTGATAAAAGTTGATGGCCGGACTGGCACGTGCTTAAATAGAACGTAGTAACGTTGCACTTCCCTTCGACGACGTCACGTGTATCTCGCGTCGACGACTGTGACGTCACGGATCGGAGACGCGAATAGAACCGAGACGACTGAGCGTTAATTTTATCCGCGGATTAATTAAGAACCTCTAAATTTTGCAAGATTTTCTGCTGCGGGCAGACGAACGATGATCGCCCATAGGGAACGCGAGGCATTCGTCGAGCACGTCGACGTCGGGGTTCGTGTAATTTTAATCATTTCAAAGGGAAGCTTGTAATCGATCTTTTATTCCGTTCACGAAGAGACAGTCATAAATTTTACGGTTTGATTTAATGATTTTTTTTATGAAATAGATTACTGACAATACTATTCATCACTCCCAATTATGATTTTAATTATCCAGGTAAAAAAAAATCAGAAAAATATGAAACATTATTCTTATTCGCAGCACCTTTTCGCATCCTCTGCACGTCTTTTCGACGAACAACAGCTCATTACGCGCTCTAAAATAATCTCACGCAACACGAGCGCAAATTCCCCGTAAGCTAATCTCGATTTCCGAAGAAACTGACGCTAAATAGTAAAGCGGGCAGGATAAACATTTCCGTGGGATCGGCTTTACGATATAATGGATCGTAGCCTATAAACCATTTTAACGGTCTTGAACAGAGACTCGGATATTCTTCATACACGTGTGACGCGCTGGTCTGACAGAGGCGATGTAAAAATTGTTGCAGGGTGGCTCGTGCGAGTCGTTGTCGTCGAAAGGCGGCGGCGGCGGCGGCGGCGGCGGCGGCGGCACTCTAACTGGAAGTGACTCCGGAGTACTTGAACTGAGCGACAACGGCGGAGGAGGCCCTCCAGGAGAATGGGACGCGGTTCCGGGCGTGGTCAGACAGTGCATCAGGCATCTAGAAAACACCGGTCTTCGGACACTTGGCATCTTCCGGGTGTCGCCTTCTAAGAAGAGGGTGAAAAAGGCGAGTACTTTCACAATGCTTTCACAATGCTTTCACAATACTTCTGTCTGATTGTACCAGTTAAAATTCTTCGCCCCCTTATCTTTATACCAATTTGTTATAAATTATTTGCACATACCACATTTATATTAATCATGAGATCCGGTGCTCCTTCAATCCTTTGTGGCAACACATAATATGAGTACGCAGTTTTGTTTTTTTTTTGAGATCATCGAATAGTTTATCTTTCCAGTTGCGAGAGGATTTCGATTGTGGCCGTGAGACTAAAATCGGGCCTGATCAATGTCCTCACGACGTGGCAGCCCTCCTCAAGGAGTTTTTTCGAGATCTACCCGACCCTCTGCTCTGCAGGGACCTCTACCAAGCTTTTGTACATACACAAAGTAGGTTCAAAATTCATTGTGAGCCACTGTAAGCGGCTTACTTTAAGGATTTACTATTGAATATTCGGTTCTAAACTCGATGCACGCATAAAAAGCGGCAAAGTGGATAATAGACGGCAATCCTCTTATACCGACCAAATCTAACAAATCTGGTTTAGTTAATTTTCGTCGATTTTAATCACGAGCAATAATAATATACTCGTTCTGAAGTAATTGAAAAATATACTGCAAAATCCAAGACGTCCATCTTTTGAGAGAACTGTATCAGTTCCCAGCTGACTAAACTCAAAGGAACCCTTTCAACGGGAAACGATTCTCGTAACTTTCCTTGCTTTCTCGCCCACACCATTCCAACGGTACGAAGGAAATGTTCGTTCAATTAAACGGCAACGTCACGAAAACTGCAAAACACTCGATGAACTCTCGCGTTGAGTCGTTAAGAGGATCTTGTTCAATTTGTCTCGCGAACTTTCATCGACGCTTTTTCCTTTCACGCTCGAATTGACGCTCGAGTCGTATACATATTGTATTCACTGAAAGAGGGCTTCCGTTTCCCGCAGAAATCCGTAACAGGCGACTTCAGCAAGAAGCTCTTCAGCATCTTATTCAGCTGCTGCCCACGCCGAATCGCGAGACGCTCTGGGCACTTTTGAACTTTCTCAGCGTAGTCGCGATGAACAGCGACGATCAAAAGACCGAGACGGGTGAATGGATGCCAGGGAACAAAATGGACACGACCAACCTTGCCACGGTAAACCGAATCTCAATCCTCGACAAGCTGTCCAAACTCCATTGTCGTGAGATTTTATTCGATTACGAGACTACTTTCTACAGTAATATTAATATTAACACGCTAGCATTCGATGTTTTAATTTTCATTTAACGTTTAATGGAAATTGGAAAAGCATTTTGTGAAAAAGATCTTTAGTCTTGCCAGTAAGTAAGACCGAGCATCGTCGAATTCTTCTTCCGAAGGTATTCGCACCGAATATCCTCCACTGTGTCAAGCCCGGACAGAGGTCGGAAGTGTCTGCGGAGAGGGCGGAAGAGAGGATAGACGTAATAAATGTGGTGAGAGCCCTCCTAGAGCACGCGGAGATGTTATTTATGGTACCGGCAGCCCTTCTGGACGAGGTGTATCTCCACATGATGGACACCCATCCGGCCGATTTGGATCTTGCCCTCTCCCGACGCGCTGAAGAGTGAGTGCGCTCGAGCGAGCATCCCCTATCTTTAATCTTCGATCGTGCCACAGTTCTTTTCCTCCCGGTCTTTAGAAAAAATCTCTGGGGAAAAGCTGACAATTCGATTGTTTCGGCACACTTTACTTCGATCTCTGAAGAAAATCTGAGGAAAAGACTGTCGAGATCCAAAATTGTATCTACTGCTCTCTATTTTAATCAAATAAATTCTTAATCCGTCTGAAATTCTGTGGCAAGCAGCCAAGCGCGAACAGAGTTCGCGTGCGAAAGAGACTGACAGAGGGTTTTCCATGGGTTTTCACAGGCAATGCGGGGATGAGGCGGATCCGTGTAGCGAAGCCGAAAATTTCTCGGTCGAGGAGACCCTTACGACGTCACCAACGACCCCAGCCGGAGCGACCATGTCGACCAGGAAGGTAACCATTTCAGATTGTACGAGATATCTCACGGCTATTTCGTAGTATCGCACTGACGTCTTTCGGCCAAGGACAATTTTCGAGATCGGAGATAGTAGATATGGCTCGCTTGTCGATGACGATGCGTCGATTTCATTTAAAAAATTTAAGTTTTTACTGAGGTTTCAGGTTCTAATTTCATTTTCGTACAATCAGAGCAGTCATTTCCCTCGTTCGGTATCGTTCATAGGACAGTTGACAACAATAAGAACAGTAGATCAGAGTATTAAATTTTTGATCAAAGGTATGGACCAGGGAACAATGCCTCCATCAAACGGCCGGTGTGGGCGGAGATATAGGTCCAAGGCCGAGGCGACCGAAGAGGCCGGGGAGTCGGCGGAAAGAGGAAGGCAGGAGTAACAGCGTGGACAGTGGATCTAGCGAGGATCCTGCTGACGCACGCAGACGATCCTCGCCCATGGTGATTACCGCCAGTCTCACTATACCGATGTCCGGAGCGTTCACGTTGAACCTCGACGATCCGGACATTCCTTACATCGAGGAGACGCCTAAGCAGCCTAGTGCGCCACCGAGGAGGCAAAGGCAGCGATCGATTTCCGGTTGCAGTGAAGGTGCAGGTCCTTCGCAAATTCTTATTAAGTGCACAAGATGCGAGATCTTTTCCTAATTGTGATTTGTTTCCCATTCTTTATTCATATTCCCGCAATCCGTTTTTTACGTTTTCACGTTACCATAGATTCTGATGTAATTAACACAAAAAGAGTAAATTGAAACTGAAAATCTGAATTATTAGGCGGAAGACACGGAAGCGATAGCGCCGTGGGATCTTCGGCCACGTTGTCCGGTGATCAGGCGCCAAGCTCTCCTCCGTCATGGGCGTCGTCGCCACCTGCCAGCCCGGACAGCGCGGTCACCGCTGTCTCATACATCCCCGACCAACAGGCCGTCCTCCAAAGGGTGTCGTTCACCACCTCGAGCGAGGTACGTCAGGTGACTAGATCGAGCAGCAATCAGGATACGTCGAGGAGCGCAGCGCCGTACACGCCGAGCATCACGAGTATCGGTGGTGCGGTTTTGAGGTGAGCATCTCGTCCCTTCGAACTATGCCCAGCCTACCTTTCGAATATAGGAACGTTGGCCGAACGATTCCTATTCTGCGCCACCGAACCTGGTATTCGCGCGAAACATTTAGGACGACGGTTCGTGCACCCGACGAAGAATGTAGCACGACGCCTACCGTGTACTACTACCTACAGCTTGACACGTAGCCACTAGCGTTAGAGCATCAAATCGCTTTACGTCGATAATTCATAAAATCTTGGAATTTATTTCAATCATTCTTCTTATATTATTATTATTATTATAATCATTGAGCAGTGAACCTCTATTTTTGCATTCCACAAGGTATTCCGTCTTAGTTTCACAGAGGTGTTTCATCGTTAGTATCGATTCTCGATAATTAATCGGAAGTATCGCGTTGTTGTTCAGGTCGAAGACCGCGGACATCGAGAGGATGCTGCACATCTCGCGGCCGGATACTAATATCACAGCGTCGCAGCAGAGCAAGACTAGTTCCAGTGGCACCTCATCCGAGAGCAAAAAGTACACCAAGAGACGTTACACAGACTCGAGGCATCAAACACGTCACATCCCCGATTCCGATACCCTGGCGGGGAAAAGCACGGTGACGGTTTCGTCGTCGCCCTCGATGTCTTCTTCGGCTACGACGGCCGGCGCGCAGAGTCAACGAGCCGGGGCGCAGCCAGTCTGGAAACGACGAGAACTCATCTCCAGCGCGCCCAAGAACAGAGAGGGATACTTCTGAACGTCCCCGTGGGTGATCGGATCAAATGTCGGAGGATCTTAATGGCTAGTTCCTTTTGAAACTCTGTCAGAAATGCTTCAAGATCGTTTAGTTGAAATTGTGTGTGTGTGTCGATGTTTCAAAAGGTAAAACATTTTTATAAAGCACGGCAGATATAAATGTTCGTCGTACACGATCGAATGGAATACATTTACCGGAATCGTTTATATTGACTGACTGATAAAAAAATTTCTGACAACTACAACATTCTGCCAATCTAAAATCTCGTACTCGTTGCTCAGATTACTTGTGCCTTACGTACACGGATCGATAAAATATTTTACAATTAATTACAGAATAGTAAAAATTCGTAAGGAGAATTTTAAAGACGTAAAAATGACTGAACGTACGATTAGGAAATCGAAAATCGTTTACGAAATTAGACCAACACGCGATGTTTTATAAATCTGCAAGATTAAAGAGATCCGAACGAAGCATGGGATCCGATCGCCAAAGCATCCGTGGAAAATGAAATAGAAAAACAATATACAATTACTGCCGATCAGGCGTGGCCTGGCAAAGTGTTCCTCGACACGTTTCTCGGTTCCGGAAGCCGAGAACCCGTGTGCTCGACGTATCGTATATCGTCGTGGGGTGTCTATTGGTTCCTAGACTACCGTCCTCGCGCTCGTAAAGATCTCCGTGATGAAACGCACGACCCTCTACTTATACACTTCTCTCAATCCCCCTTTTATCGTCGTCTTATCTCACCTCTCGTCTTCTACAATCTCGCGTCCGCGGTAAATCGAACGGGAGGAATTTTCTACCCTAATTTATATGAAAAAATGAGAAATGCAACATCTATCTCTGGTATTCTACAAATGTAACATTCTGTAGTAGCGACACTGCGTTAGTAGCGATTTGTAAATTATTTTTACTATTATTATTATTATTATTATTATTATTATTATTATTATTCACTAAACCGGAAAGAAGGAAGCTTCGAGCGTTGATGATTCGCGAAAGCGTTGCGCTTTTTGGGTGATCGAGACGCCGATGGAATCCTCGATGAGCCAAAGTTAAGCAACAAGACTAGTCTCGAGTTCCTCGAATTCGTGTCGGGCCATTATATCTCTTTAGCCTAGTCTATTCAGATCACAATTTCTCGACCATTTCTGTAATGGCCAACATTTTTTATGACCCCAAATTTTTCTTTATGAAAATGATGCATGGGTAGAGCGAGAAACTGTGATTTAATAGATCATTCTAACTTTCATTCGTTTCGATGGAACGATGAATGTATCTCGTTTCTCAGTTACTAATACTGAACGACGAGTAACGAGGTCCATCGATCGTAGATTATTATTTTTATACAACAGCTTGACTCGACAATTTTCAGGAAAATGAGCTTTTTTTTCTGGGGATTTCTCTTCTATCTCCTTTTTTTAAGAATTGTTCTCTGCGCCCGAGAGGATATCTTTCAAACAGTCCGCGTACTGCCGAGAGGGACGCGTGGCCCGAAAGACGCTCTTTTTATTCGTCATTTAAGTTTTCATTTTCAGTCTTTAAGCTAATAATAAATGAAGATTAATTTTTTTACCATCTTGCCTACGTATTTTAATTCCTTTCGCCTGAGTCCAAGAAGTAGTTGACGATTGACGAAATAATTAATCGATTACTCCTCAAGTATACCAGGTAGAAAAAAATTGTACATGACTACTTTCTCGTAGGTAACAGCGGTACCTACAACTTTTTACTCGAAGCATTTCTCGAAATTTTGAGAAAAAGAAATTCTGTTTTTTTTTTTTTTTTTTTTTTCGTGATTTCGTCAAGGGATAATGGCTGCTTGCAGGTAAATCATAGACATTCCTTTATTATCGATATGCTCACGTACACTCTTCACACTTCACATTTCAAAGATCATACTGGTCATTACAAAATTTATCCAGACGCATATCGTAATTCACACCACGAAGTAAGACGATCGTCTTACTCGTTTTAACGAGTAGCAAAAAAGTGCAAAAAGTGGAACACGGACTTTCATATTATAGTTCCGATAATGTTCTCCCCTCACGTTATGAAAGCTGCCCATCAATCTCACTTCTTATCGTGTTCCTGAAAGGCAGTCGCAGTCGGATGTCGCACAAGCGCTTTTTCTAAATCCATAAAACTCTGCTGGTTCTTTCCTCTGTTATAATTTTTTTAACAACGTATTAAATATCAATGATAAAATAACTGTTAACCTTCGAAATTTTTAATACTGAACACTTTAAAGACATATATTTATGAGAAGAACATTTATTACTGATGAACATTTGTTACAATGATCGGAAGTCATTGGAAATGACCGTTGAGAGAATTACAAGTTACTCTTTTTTCGATGCGGTTGTCGAAATAATTCTTGCGCAGATTTGTAAGGTACATCTCGTGCAATTTGTTTCGACGGAAAACAGGTAACGGTACAAATTAACATCCACGTGTATGAGTACCTAAATGATCGATACGATAAATTCCAAACGGGGAAATATAATTCAGCCATAGTACGGATAAATTTATGATTAATCGATAGTATGATGCAAATCGATAAAATAAATGATAAAATCGGAAAAGGAAAGGTCCGAGAAAAAATTTTGCAACGAATTCGTTAAAAGAGAATGAGAAAAATAATTTCAAACCATCAGTTAAACTTCAGTTTAAATAAATATAAGCATCGACAACTATCCACGCACGATAACCCTACAGATAAAAAGAAAAGAATTTAAAGAAAGATACTAAAGAAGACCGTCGACTTGACGTCGAAGCAGATCCTAAAATGTTATGGACAAAACAATGAGAAACGTAAGAAATTTCCTTTAGAAAAAGATAGTGTCACGACACCAACAGTAACGATAATAAAAAATAATATTAATAATAATAATAATAATAATAATAATAATAATAATAATAATAATAATAATAATAATAATAATTAATCAGCTCTAACGAGTAAAACGTGTTTGTTCCACTCATGATCAATCACGAGCGAAACAGATCTCGAGAACACCGCGCAACATATACATATTTATATTTATATATAAATTTCTTTCGCATATTTATATATATAATATATTAAAACAATCGCTAAAAAATATAAATATATTTATATATTTATATTTGTATATATAACTGTTGCCGTTTTACGGCTAGCTGCCTACGCAGGGCTGGACGGATGCGACGCAGTAAGTAAATTTATTTATAATATACGCTCCCCGGGACGAGGAAACGGAACGTTAAATCTATAACGCGACGATCAAAACGAATGTACGAAGAACAAAAAAAGATAAGAAATATATTTACGGAAAAAGTAAGGACGGAGAATTGGAGGGAGTAAGTAATAGAAAGAAGAAAACGTATCACGTATCCTGCGACTTCACGACGCATTTTATTACTGAAACGCACCATTTACCGATTTTTTTTTTTTTTTTTTACAAATATATCATCATAATTTACATACCTTCCGATGTAGCAAAACTATTTTCATCGAATTGTTTAAGAAAATGAAACAACAACCAGAAAATACGTTCTCTGGTTCGTTTTTCTTTGAATATGAGGAAAAACGATATAACACGTCATCGATACCAGAGTACATTCATATTCAAGAATTATTGAGACACTCTGAGAGGAATCTGATGAAAAGGTTAGAAAACTAATCTGAAAGTCGATTTCAATATCTTTCAACCGTACACGGTTGGTGAATTTAGTGAAAACATAGTGTTCATTAAGTATTCCATATCTCTGTAATAAATATATTATCCAGATAAATATCTTACATACCTAACAGTGTAGTTTTAATAACCATATAAAATAAAGAATACTTAAGGAAAGTTGTACGTAAAAAATCGTTTGGTGCGTTCCAGCAATTATTTCACTATTTACGAGATTAACTCTATACGTAATAATTTTTGCTAGATCGTCGGCGAAGCTTCAATCCTGCATCGAAAAGAAACGATAGTTAACAAACAGTTTTGATCTGTCAACAGCCTAGTACTTAATACCCTTAACGGCTCCAACCGTAATGTCAGACCAAACAGTTGAACGACGACGATGAGTAAAAATGGTTTCGACGTTCCAAATGAAATTTGCATACCAACAGCGGTTGTTGCATCGTTTCAATTAGACTCCGAGTACGAGTCTCGCGTATAATTAAATACCAAACAGTGGGCGGCGTTGATTATGTTGGCGCTATTTAATTTCCGCTTCATCGTTTCACGTTACCCACCTATTTACCGACACGTTAATCTTGGTTAATCGATTACGTTTTACTGATTGTATAATACGTCTGCTGTTTGACATTGGCTGTTCGTCGTTCAACGTGATCACGTTAATCTTTTGCGGTCTTAATGTGAGAGCATGTTAGAGTCAATGCACGTTTGCTAGCTTCGACGTGTAGAAATTTACAGTCACACACATTTGGAACACGACAGAGATTCTGTCAACTTCTTAAAAATACTGGCCGTATGAAAAACCATCGATAATCAAACAAAATATGTTCGAAGAAGCGAGACAATAACATAAGTAGTTAAAAAAATTACCTCGGTCAAGTAAATGATTCTGCGAGTTAATCACTTAAAGCGACCAGACCGCAAAGGGTTAATATTTCTTTTGGTTCACGGCTGGATCCGCTGGGATCCGTTTGTTATCTCACCGAACACGACAGGCTGGCTCTCTCGATCCTCTGGACCGATCTCGAGACCTCTAAATTCGGCAGCATCTTCCTCCTCGGAATGCGAGGACACGTTTTTAACGTTTTCCATCGTCCGATTTAAACTCGATTATGACTACAAAATAGAATCCTCGATAAATTACAATTTCGCCTTGATAACTCTTTTATGACAGTGCGTTGACAGTGTTCAGACCGAGGACCGAGAACGCGAGCGGATAAAATAAAACTGGAATCACGAACACACGAGACGAAAGAAAGTTTATATCGAGTCGATCAACGTTGACGGGACTCCGCGGGGGTGGATCGTAACTCCCAGGGTCCTTTCCGAATCAGTATTGTCACGTCAGTCATAAATATCGGCGTACGGAGTCGTCTTGTACCGAAGGTTACGATGCTCCGTTTCGCTCCAAGACGTCACACGAGGAGAATGGACGCCGAGAGCAATTTCCCATCCCGATTCTTCGATCACTTGGATCAACGAGGCTCATTTCCTAGGTCGTCCTTCCATCACGCGATAAGACCATCATCATCTCTTTCCGTTAGAACTTTTTAATCTGCAAGATTGTTTCCTCGATCCTCGTCCTCGACAGAACGAAACGTTTCTCTTCCAGCCGGAAGTTCTCTAATAATTGAACGAACCGAGCGATCATTGGAAAACTTCCGCGCTCGGGAAACAGTCTCGCACTCGGTGCTCGCCCTTTTCGAATCGAGGATTCATCGCTGTGAAATGCAGGAATCAATCCACCCTCTACAACGTATGTTTTCACTTACACTCTCGTCTACTGGTTGAAGATTCTGTTTGCTCCTGATTACTCCGGAGATAAATGAATAAAATATTTGTTACAGAGGATTGAAATCATCGATTCTGATCGATCCGACGTTTCTCTTTGATATGTCTCGCGATTGCTTTTAATTCGTATCACAAAATTAGTAATATATGTTTGTTTTTTTTTATATGATCGCTCTTGTAATAAAAATATCAGTTGTCGCACGGTTCGCAACCGCGGTTCCCCTATCATTAGGAATGTTTCGTGGACGAATTCGATGCGTGAAATGCTTTAAACCTCGGTAGAGTGCGTCTGAATTCGCACCTTCTTCTGGGAACCGTTCCTCGAGAGGGTCGGGCTGTGCGCCGAGAAACCGGGATTGTGGATACCGAGCGGTTTCGGCTTCTTCAGCGAGCTACGAAGTGGCGAAGCCGTGCTCGTTACACTTCCGGAAGTAGCCACCGACGCCATCGAACCGTTTCCGGCACCGCCAACGTAAGGTTTGCCGCTAGCGTCGGTCATCGATATACTCCCACCTGAAATTCAATCGAGAAGCCACGAGTTCAATAAAAAGATCTACTATTTTGTTAGAATCAGTGTTGCACAAGGAAAAATGCTTTTACAGATATTTGCTTATTAATAATTTCATTATAAATCAGTCAAACGGTATATAAAACTTGATAAACTGTAATAGAAGGTAAGCAGTTTATTGAATTTAATGACTGAAACTTTTAATCAATAAGAACGTTGTAAAATAAAAATTGTACCAGTCCTTTGGCAAACATGAAAACCTGGTAGAAGGAAAAATATATTTAACTGATTACTTTTAAAACCTGATAAACTTCTAATTATAGACTCTGTAATTTTTATGTCGACAGTCGAGTCGACAATTATACAAAGCAGTAAAGAGAACCAGCATGTCTTAGCAATTACTTCTGGAATTTCTCATTAACGCAAAACCTCGGGAACCTCTGTTAGATTAGGTCCAAATAGCACCTCGCAATCTCCTAATATACAGTTACGATTTTACAATTTATTGTATAACACATGTTTCTCTTAAAAATTAACTGACGATTCATGCAGTATTTCATATCGTTTATCAGAGGAAACAAAATAAAATTTTGTTTTATAAAAGTGGAGACTGAGATTTTTTATGAAAAATTTTGTACGCACTGATCGGAACTCAGTGTGTACGCGCGTCACGTTTCACGCATGCATCCACGTACGCGGGTGTAATACGTGGGCGCACCTGCACTCTTGCCACTCCATGAAATTCGTCGAGACGTTTTAATTCACCGTGAGATACGTGCACAACGCACTCGCGGGTGCACTTACTCCCTAAACATGAAGTCATGCGAAATCTTCTTCAATTCTTTTTTATTATCTCAGTATTTCAAGACGAGGTCTTCCTTAAGAAGATTGCTAACTTTGTCCATCCCTCGTTTATGATAATTCGACTCTAAGAAAGATAACAGCAAACTTCTTGATGCATTTTATATGGTCTGGGAATTTTTTTTCGCACATACATCGCAAACGTTTATACTTGACTTTAAATCTGCTTTTATTCATAATAATAATAATAATCCATGTTTATCGCATACTCATTCCGTTTCTTTAATTGAATGAATCTTGACATTTAATTTTGCGCTATGCCTATTACTTCTAGCCACTATTATTCGCTATTTCCCTTGTTTAACACGAACAATCAGTCTATTTGCTTCCATCATCGCCTCGGCTTCTATCACGTTTCACATCTGAAGACATTTGAGTGTAGCATATTGAGTTTCCATCAGCTGCTAGGCGAAAGCCTTCCGACTTTCAGCCACGAAGCAACCCTCTTCCAAACTAAAGGAACCTAAAAGGCATATCGAAACGACGCGGTTCGAACGACGCGGTTCGAACGACGCGGTTCGAACGACGCACCGCCTAGACGTTCAACATTCGTTCTCGATCAGTGAATCTTTCTAGAAATTGGAAAAAGCAAAGCATGTGGTCGTGTTGGAAAAATTTGAATTTTTCTGTTACACCTTGCGTGGCAAAAGACTTTATGAACGTTCTGATTTAAATTCGTACAAGTACGAGAATCAGAATTTTTATGTTATGTAAATGTTATTATGAAATGTTTAAGTATTCGTCTTTATATGTTTCATGTGTTTTAAATATGCAAATAGTATTCGACCAGTACGTGACATAATTATGGAACCTTGAACGTAACTCGTTTAAAGCGACAGGCGCACCAAAGTGAAGCCTCTATTCTATTAGAGCCTAAATGGATATGTTTCGTTAACCATGCAAATGATGTTTCATATAAGGAAGGGACTGCTTCCCTTTCACGGTAGCTAAGATCTTTCCCGTTGTTCAATATGCATTCAGGAAATCACAACAATAACTAGCTAGCGTAAATAACCGAACCAATGTTAGATGTGCAGAAAAAGGAGATACAAGTATCGAGAATCTCTGAAATTTATTTTACAAAATGTTTCGAATAATTCGGTGCGTTCCAATCTGACGAATATGTATAATGGAGTTGCCATACGTATTGTTGCGACAAAACAAAATTCGTTTCAAGATACGTACGGGGACACGTACTCACTACCAGCGTTTTGTAATACTTTGTCCTTCGTTGACACAGTTCAGGTCTCACGAACACGTCTGCCCTTGAAATACTTATAAATGAGCACCGAGCACACTTCATACCGTACCATGAAATTTCATTTTCTTACTAAATTAAACGCACGCGTCATCTTATCTGTCATTCGGGTAAAATGAAATCCGAAGTTATCTTTCCTAATTGAATTTCGCCTTTAAAACCAACGATAAGAAAAAGCTAATCAGGGAGTAACTTGGCTGATTAAAGTGGGACCGTCCATTCAATGAACTTACCGTTCGTGGGTCGATGTTCCCGGTAGCCTGGATTATTTATGGTGGCTGCACGAGGATCGTGGACAACCCTAATCTTGGTTGGGTCGCCGCCTCGTCGAGCGTAAATACCCTCGTACACCGCCGCGACCAGTACGCCAAAGTTCAGCGCGATAGCAGCTAACTGCAACAAAAAATGTCGATCCCTTCCTTCAGTAAAAAAAAAGATGAAATGGAACCACTTGCAAGGTGGAAATTTTCAATGAAATTCTATAGATATAAAAAGGATACCGTGCGATCACTAGAAATTAATTGACCATATCTTTTACAGGACGTCTTCAAATAAAACGCAATCATCAAAGCTAACTCGGTTTGCCTCAAAACGATAAATCCGCAGGTTTAATAAGCTAGAAAATTGTTATGGGGGAAGCTGGAAGATTTTATGTAGTAAATTTCACCGTGAAACGATTATAAACGGGAACGCTCCATTTTCAAGAATAAACAAGGATCATTACAACGCTTCAACGCACGAGCGCATTTATCTTTTTGACCGTACTTCGATTCGATGATAAAATCAATTATCAATCGTCACTCTTTCGCACAGCGTCGAAGCGTTGACGATTGACGAGTGGCTCTCGATCAGTGAGAAAAAGCGACGAGCGACGAACGATTAACGCGAACGGTAAATAATTGTTGTTCCAAGTGGTGTGTGCCCGCTGTTCGAGAATCAGTCCCGCGTCCGTTTACAATTCAGACAAGCGCCGTGATTATCACGGACAATTTTACTCTGCATAATTAACAGCTCTCTGTTAGAAGAGTACCAACAATTAACGAGCACACAGAACTCCGAGTTCCATTAAATGGTTTGAAAAGAACCTCCTGTGACTAGTATTGATCGGAAGGTGAATTTGTCATACCAAAATAGTTTTAATGAGGGGAGACAAAAAATAATTCTTCCATTGTCAGATTTCATTTTCTTTGTTCTTCTGTCAATATCGATTGTATCACGTTCTTCTTTGCTATTATATTGCAGATCCGTTTACACGAGGGATCGACTCCCTTTATTAGATTAATCATTATACTAATTATCCGGAACAGCTATTGTAGCGGCAACATAGAACAGTTTCCTATCCGACACGTTGGATGTCACACACACACACACACACACACACACACACACAGTCCTATTGTTCGGAAATTTATAAGGTTCGTCCGACGATTGTCCCACGCGGGGCGGGAAACGCTTGTTTAAGTAGCTCTGTTTTCACGTCGCCGATGTCACGTCGTCGATGTGTTGCTTCTTATTGCGAAACGCGCTTGTTCGTTCAACGAAGATAGGGTGGATACGCAGGGAAGGAACGAGGGGAGGAACGAAAAAGGACACAGAAGAGGTCGATGGAGGAGTAGAATTTAATTAAGACGTATAAAGGACATAGGAAGCCATTGTTCCGCCACAATAATTAATTCACCGTCGTTTTTTTTTCTCCATTGTGCCTTTCCAGCAGCCCGGCCTACAGCTAGCCCAGAGAGAAGAGGGACTGACGAGTGAATTGGCAATAGTTGAGCGACAATTTGATTAACAATGTTGTTTCACCAAAGTTCGTTTTATCAACCGACGAGCATCGTCTTTGTTCAACGAACGAAGGGACGTTTCGGGGAAGCACGCTGCATTATTATTATTAAACGCTGCAGACAAAAAGATAGTGCGATAGACCATGAAATATGAGTACTACGCGCTATTTGCTGAGTCTTTTAATTAAAGTGTTCTTTTTCTCCTCGAGATAGAATAAAAGAGAGGATTAAATACACAAAACAGAAACTGAGCAACATTCCTTTACATCCAACTGTCACAGAGGAGACACAGGGGATAAATCCGGGCTTTCCAATTGGGTTGGACAAAAGAAATAGGACAAACACATACAGGTTTAGAGGTATATATTTATAATAACATTGTGACCCCGTACCATTCGGACTTGGTGGTCCTTCGACGAACAAAGATATCTTTTCCTATCCGAGCTAGAAAATCCCCGTGGTGCCTTACTTGGTATCTTTATACCGTTATAAATCGCGGATGGGTTTTACCTTGCCCTGTTTCTGTTTGTTCATTTTATCCAGCTCGATCTCGTCCTTGGCCTCCCGCAGAAGGCTCCGTCTTCTCTTTTCCATCATCTCGGATTCCGGATTATGGGATATCTGACTTGCAATTGTCACGTAACACGAATAAGGGGCCTCTCAAAAAATCTCCATACGTTTCACGGCCATTTAACGTCCGCCATCCACGTTCCACATTTGGTTAAACTCATATAACTCCTCCTCGTCGTCGTCGTCGTCGTCGACTTTCACTTTATTTTTCTTTTTTATCTAACAAGTACGCTTCTCTTTTATAATTTACTACGAGTTTATTAATAATTCGTTAGAAAAATTATGTACGATAATAATTCATTAAAATCTCCACTGTCTATTAAATAGTGAACTTCATAAACTGTCAATTTTAATGGAATTATTAGCGAGTTAAAAATTAACGAGTTACATTAAAACACAGTTCAGTGAAAATTACACTGTTTTTATAGCATCAGAATCACGATCTCATCAAGTATATCCCATGAAACATAAGAATTTCCTCTTTCTTGATAAAAAGTTCACTCATTAATTAAGCGAATTATATAAAAAGTAAATGGGTCATCATCATCAGTATTGTTCCCGTTTACCGTCATCGTTTTCTTTCTCTGTTATTCGCCGATTACCCTCAATTAGTCGAATTTCACTCGTCTTTCACTAATATCTTCATCAGAATTTGATAACAGATCCTGACACAATTTTCACCATTGAAACTGATTGACACATGAATGAGAAATGGGCACAGAAAACGAGCGCGTTCGACCGTGGAAAAACGCGACGAGTTCCACGATAAGAAGGAGAACGGCGCAGTGCGCTGGCAAACGATCCGCGCCAAAACGTTCACTGAGAGTCCACCGATGTCGTCTCATTGTTTTTAAACTGTCCAAGTGTCGTGGGTGCCCTGACACATACTAACTGCGTTAAGCCCCGCAGCAACAGCAGGGGGCTTAACGAGACACCTGCGAGCCGTTCCCGATCAGGTGGCCTTTAAGTATATTTAATTCCCCGATCGTACGCCTCGGTTATAATACGTTTCACACCTGGTTTAGAATCAGCGCATGCCTTTGAAAACGTACCGTACGATTATCGGAAGAGCGGTTCGGTGATCGATTCCAGCCGGATGGGAAATCGGTCGCGCGTCGATCGAATCTGACGTAGTCGAGAAAATCATTGAATGAACATAACGCGCGTAAGCTAAAGTAAATTCAGCTGACTCAGAGGATACATGCAGCAATGGGACCGGTGTCTAATTACACTGTTACGCTGTTCGGAGCTACGATTGCGTCACTTTTAAATGACGTAACTTTTGTTGTTTGCGATTCTTGGCTGATTTCAAAGATCTAAGTAGATCCTGGTGATAAATCTTATACAAAATTTAATATTAATTATTTAACATGATATACCTATACCTATAAAGATATAGATATACCTTCAAATATACAATGAAAATGCACGTCGTTCAATCGATTAAATTTTTGTTTTATCATAGCTTCTTTATGATCTGCGAAACGTAAGTACCACCGGAAATTGAACAGTATAGAATTATCCTCAACCTCGCAGCAACTTTCTTCTCCAAGTTAAATGTAACGTAAAAAATTACACGACACGGCAGATAGTAATAGCTGTTACAGTTCGCGATCTACATACATACTACTGTCATTCCATCGATTACTGTTGTAATAACTCCGGCTGCGGTTAAAGAGAAACTCGCATCGGTTTACGATACCAAGATAATCGAAGCATATCGTCATCATCAACGTTATCGTCGCGGCGCGTTCCAATAACCGCAATATTTCTAAGCACTGACACGCTATCATCATTATACCGAATGTAAATTCATACCACTTACGTTTTTTTGCTGCTGAAGAACAAGACAAGTTCTGATATAAACAGACAGATTAGTGGCCTCGTTAATATGTATCTCCAATAATTATAATTAATGTCACAAAGTCGTAGTGAACATATGAAGAAATTGAAACAACAAAGAAAAATTGAATGAAGAACAATCTAAATCGTTACGTTCTCCAACAGCAATAAGGATTATTCTTGCATTGAACTTTTTGAAGAAAATTGATTTACAAACACTCGTAAAATTATACATGCCAGCTGCTAAGAGAAACTTGATTGCGATTCGTAATACATGACCCTCTTCTATAGACGAGTTCTTAAAGCAGTTTACCGCACATGTTTCCAACAGCGTGACACGCGGTGAACCCTAACGGAGGGAGCAAAATCAGCTTTATCGAAATAACTGCGAGGTAACATCTGTTCGGAAAAGCTGAGGTAGGGATCGAGCATAACGGACCCCCGCCCCGTGACGGCGACATTTGGCAGCGTAGCTTCGGAATTGTTTTTATAAATCATGCTCAGTTGCAGTAGAAAATTTAGTGTTTGCAGGGCACGGGCAGGGGACTGGTAAATACGTGACGATTTCTCTTCCGCAAGATAGGAGCAACAGGTTTCGAGGTATATGTATGTATGTATAGCATAGTGACGGGTCAAAAGAGTAATTGCGGAAGAGTATACAAGTATAGTCGATGAAAGAAATTCATTAGAGTTGTAAATAAGAATTCAAAGTGCCGGTGCCGGTACACAACGATATAATCAACGAATTTTCTCAGTTGTAAGTATATAAATGAAAAGTATCCTGGATGAAACTAGTTTAATGGACGAGTTGAAGAGTCTTGTGGTAAATTGCAATGGAGAAAGTTTAAGTTTGACTCAATTAAATCCAAGGAAAATAAAAGTTCTAAAGAGGTGCTCCTTCGACAAAAGGAGTTATTCGTAATTTTTTGGGTAAATTCAGAATTTCAGAACTAGTTACGAAGAAAAACATAAACTAATTTGAAAATAAAATAGTACGAGTAAAGATTACCTGCATGTAAAACGCCTCTCCCCTTGTGATAACGAAGCTGCTGGCTCTGTCATCGGTCTGCAGGGCGAATAGACTCGCTGCTACGATAGCCAATGATGCTGGAAGAAAAGAAATAGATCCATATTTTTTTTTAATTCCCATTCGAGAAATTATTATATTTCTTATCAGCATTCACGTCTGTTACATTTATGAAGAGACGATGAGAAAGTTTTCGTTTTACCGTTGCCTTTTACTAATTAATTGATTTAAAAAGCATACAAATTGGAAATTCATTCACTGAATGTGGTCGACCGCGATCTATAAATTTAGCACGTATCACTTTACTACGGCAACAAGATCCACCGCGGATATTCGATTCTTCGCGTGAGGGTAAGTAGGCCAGTAAGTAGGCAAGTGACTAGTAATCCTACCGCCTGTTACAAAACTTTCAGACTGTCCTGGCGCAAAAGGATCTCTCCGCTCGACATTTACGCTCTACGATTCCCACCGAGGAGAGATTACTAAAGGGTGGCAGCCTAACGAAAGATGTTTCAAACAAAAGTTGTAGCTGTAGTTGTCAGATACGAGAAAGGTCGTATGCAATTTCCCCGTAGATCCAACAGAGTATTTAAGGAAAAACCAAAATTTTTTCCCAGGAGTTTGCCGGATTTTTTTTTCAGTACCCATAAAATGCTTTGTAAATAAAAAATAAAAATGTTTTTGATAGTGTCAATAATTAATTAATAAATAAATAAAATTCTTTGCAATTGTAAATTATTAAAAACTAGTCAAACAAGTTTTTGTTTTTCAATCATCAGTTGAGAAGGTAAAGTGTTTCTTCTTGCAAGCATTTGCTTATAATACTCAAGTGAAATTTTCTCAACAAATAACGAGATGAAAATGCCTTCGGGTGTTTGATTAATGGATAAAATTAATCTGGGACTGTACTCTTGGAAATACTCACTGGCTAGTGTTGCGAGGGCCACTTTCCCTATCAGAGCGGTGCTGTACGAGATAATAACTCGTTTCGCCGAGGAAGCCATTGCGAGCTGCAACACGGCGAGACCGACCAAGATCGCCAAAAGGGCAGAGGCAGTCGCTGCGGCTAATCCTGCTACCCACACAGCCACTGTACAGAAAGACACAGACTACGTTACGCTTGATTTACCATCCTCCACGATTGATTCGCTTCAAAAGTCTGTTCCTGAAGTAAAGGTCCTGAACTCCAGGTTCTAGGAATATCTAGAAATTCTAGGAAAGTCTAGACATTTTGTGAGCGTCGTGGGAACGACCTCTTTGACGTATAATAAAAATCAATAGCCACTGAAATTTAAAGCGAACTCACACACTGGCTGAAACCTGGAAACCCCTTGGCCGCATCTTTCCCTACCATACAGTAGAAGCTTGCACTGCCTCCACGGACCAAAGTATCCTTTCTCAGCCGCCGAACCAGCTGCAACATAAAAGAAAATACAAGTTAATAAAAGCATGATGAACTATACTCTAACGTCATTTTATTTTAATTGCAAATCCTTTTCATTTCGTCTTATCTGTACAACCTGTTATACGCAAGCCCAAGTAACAATTCAAAATCCAACGTATCTTCTGATCTCTCAAGTGTTACGAGCTTCCGTAAGAAATACAGCAACTATCAGCCAATCGATGCACGTGGTGCTCGTGAAATATCTGAAGAACCAACGTGAATCCCCGCAGTTTGAAAATTCTGATGCCGCACGTTGCGGTGCGTCGCGATCGTTTGGCCGCGACAATCTTTCGTATCGACAAACCCTTCCTGTTACGTGGGTTACGCAACGCAAGGAACGGCTCGTAGCCACAGGATAACGAGCGAAGGAGAACGCGAGTCCTGTTCCCGGCCACGAGAGCGTGATCTCTCGAACAACTGGAAATCGCAATTTCGCCGAGCTCGTTCTGCCGTTCAAACGGCCCATAAAGTCACCCTGTTCCACCGAAGGTGCGAGCTTCCTTTTTTATCTCCAGTTACCCGTCTTTCGCCCAGAAACAGGCACGAAAAATATTACGTCTTCCATTGAAATAGATGAATACTCGATGGAACATTATTAGTACACAAGAAGACATCGAATCATCCGAATTGATTTAGGAAATTGATGCATAAAATTGCAGTCTACTAAAGTACTGGGACATTGTCTGTTGTCGGTATGAAATATATACATATATAACATGTACGATTTTGTATCGGGTTAGAGTTGCGTGTTCATGACCTGGATTCATCTCGAAAATCGCAAACTCGTTAATGCGTAAAAAATGCGATTCGTCATGGCGTTGTGGATCACGCGCGTGCAGCAACACGTGCAGAATTGAATATATTCGGGTCGAGCAACGCTTCGAACACGTACACGGTTCGCATTAATATTCATTCGGCTTTGATATAACGATAGACGTCCGTGGAATAATAGGTGAAGATTTCGCCAGTTTTTTTTTGTTTTTTTATTTCCCTTCGGTTTCGTAGTCTGTAAGTTACACGATACGTTTGGATAATTTCTGAATCACTACTCGAACCAATTCTCTATGAGTCAGATCAAAATATTAACGTGTAATAATCGACGAGCTGTCTTGTTAGCGATTGTTAGCATTGACCTTTGCGAATTAATAATTGACGATGCATCATTAGATTGGAGTCGCGCATGGATTTAAATAAACGTGGAAGTTAATGTACATTCGAAACAAAAAGTAAAGCTGACATCATTATTTTTTAATGATTTAAGTGTCGTATATTGAGGACCATTAATAATTGCATAGTATAATTAAATAATATTAATACTAATCCTTGAGAGTGAGAATAAGATGTACTTAGTTGTACAAGTTGGACGTTGCCACAAAGTCTCTGGAGAGTAAGCTTCTTGATGTCGAGTTTCACTAACAGGGGATCGCACAGTCAGCCACATTTAAATCATTAACGCAAGGATCATTAGTATCCCCTGACATGAATCTTTGAACGCAATTAAGTACCGTACTTGCTAATTTGTAAATCTTCCAATACTACATTGATTAAAATATGGTCTAACATTGATCGTAGTTTATTCATTTTAAGAAGTCCATCTATTGAAATCGATCTCGCACGATAATCAGCTTTCTCCCACTAGCTTCTAGAAACCGTGGGTTCGACACAGTGAGACGCGTCTGCATCAATTTCATTAAAAACCATCTCCATTGCACGCGTATCTAGAACTAATCTGTACTAAATTGCGAGTAGATTTTACCAATTATTTCCATAGCACCGTGGCTGTTGCAGAAACTCGTGGTGAGCTACACTCTTCACATTTTAATACCCACATCCGCGTCTCGTTTATTAATCGCCTAATTGTTTACTACTTCACGCTCACCTTGTTTTCGAGAAGGCGACGACGACGACGACGACGACGACGACGACGACGTTACCTACAAACTCGACGATTTCACCGTCCTATCATAGAAATTCACGCGGTTGAATATGCATCGTGAGACGGTTATAACGATTCGAGTTCACATACTATCGCGCAGTTTTGCCCAAGTACAGTGTAAAAACAACGATAATTATAGTTGAAGTCATTAAACGAAATGCGAACGGTGCGTGACGTTTGTTACTCGGCGTACGACGGGCAACGCGGTGTAGCGATTAGAAACGGCAGCGATTGAAAAAACACGGGGAGTCGTAAACCTGTTGAAAACCGAGCCAGCGATTAGATTAGCTCAGCGAACGAACGCCCACGCGACCCGACGATGCTTCGACAGATTTTCGATGGTCGCGAAGCGACACAGCGCAGGTAGAAAAGCTGGTCACGTTGAAAAATAATTAGAGACATCGTCTCGTTTCGTAACCCGAGCGTAGGCGTGTAACGGTGAACACCTACAGAGGTGATTATATTACCCGATATGGGAAATGGGACGTCTATGGAAGTCCGAATACCGAAATTGGCAGTTGGTTGGTTAACTTGGTTAATCGATCCGTACGACGATAACTGACGACTGGATTTTTAAGCGAATACAATTTCTACGTGAGAAGTGGAAAAGAACTGATCATTATGTAACAATCTGACCTGTTTATCAGTTTTAACGAATTCATTGTATTTCATATTTACAGCTTCCTTTCAGTAGTTCTACTTTCCCAGATGTGATTTTTATCCTCCCGACAAAAGTCAAATAAAGTGTTCGTTTATTTATGTTACTCGCATAAAGGTGCTTTATTGACCGTAACTGAACGTTATAGCTCGACGCGCTTTCAATACATAGCTACGAGTTCCCCGCGTTTTCGTATTTTTTTTATCCGTACTTTTCCAGCTAAATGACGCACACGCCCACGAATTCGGTCGAAAAATTGGAATGTAAAACTCCTGTTTTACGGATACTAATTAGACTGCTTTCAATACGGCCAAGTTTTCATGTTCAGCATCATCCCACGTTTGCTAGCATTGTACAATTTTCTAAATTGTCTAATCGTGATTAGGATAATCGTATTTGTCGTGCTTCAGTGTTTGTTCACAATAAAAGTCTGAATGAAATTAGACAGTCCCAGCGAGCAGCCTGGATTCAACCGTAAATCACTGGCCTAGAAAAAAGCCTGTTTTCTCTCTGACCAGGCCATGTCAATTAGAGATCTGCTTTAATAAAGGTCGAGGTGTCTCGTTTCACACACCAAGTGTAAACTCATTTCGCACGTAACATTTTTTTAGATACATACGTTAAATACATACGTTAATGGATTAGAACGGAAGATATCAATTACACGCGTGCATACCATCGGAATTACCGTAGCAAACGTTCTTAGCAAACGTTCATGTACATCGTGAAAATCTAAATCTAACTCGAGTCGGCATGTTTAGAACCAACAACATGGACTATGTATGCCTAACAGAATCATCGTAAAATTACACGTTCACAGACGTACATAGACGCAGCGAACGAACCATGTGTGAGTTACATAACGCGTATTACTGCCGGGTGCAACGTGCAACAGCGATGCCATTAATAGTGAACCCGGTGGCGAGGCATAAACGTGTTTGACCTTCGTCTCTGAGATGCGTACACGGCTGTTTGTTCATTTTATACAGAATGGTCCGTGCGCTGAGCCCGAGCGCGTCCACAGGTTTAATGAACAAAAAATCCAATTAACCAGTCGCCGCTGCCCGCGCTGCTCCGCACTAATTGCGCTCATTCGAGCCAGCTCGTAAAAGTCACGACGACGAGCCGCGTTAGACAAGACCTTTCCTCTCGAGTTCTCTCTCCATCGCGGAGGAAAATCGATACAAATGACACACAGGTACAAACGTACAAACAAAGCTTTGTCTCTGTACCAGTATTAACACGTTTGAGCACGTTTTACTTTGTACGTGCTTAATCTAGAAGGTTCGAAGGAAACTAGAAACGTTTCTCTGTCAAAGAGATCCGTCGCATTCTGGGAAAGGCACTGGGGATTCAATCTATAATTCAACACCCACGCCGAGTCATCTATCCCTTGTGACCGCGTGAACGATTTGCGTACCGGGGCGGAGAGGGAACGAACGTACGAGAATGAACACACTGCAACGTGATACTAGACACTAGACGATTAATATGAAAATCGGCCTCTCGCGACGACTCGTCACCGTGTTCATCGAACCATCCTCCAATCGATCCCATACGGAGAAAAATGATTCCTCGGTTCTCCGATGTCGCGTTCGTTTCGAAACACTTTTATACTCGACGCATGACAGCTGTTCACCGCGAACAATACTTGTAGAAATTCATGGTACCGAGCCTATGGTCGCACGTCGCTTTCGCGTCGTGTTCTAAGTTGATATTTACAAGTGAAGTTTTACTTTGTAAAATTGAAATGGAACGAATAGAATCAGTAGTTGATAGACTGTTCATTTCGTTATCGTTCGTGTTGTTATCGTTCGTGTCACGAGAGCAGATTGAAATCATAGTTAATGGTCATCTGCATGAAACGAAAGGGTACTGACCCAGTCACGATCATCGTGGCAAAAATTGGCTACAGTGGTGCAACTTTCACCGTTAACACAATACCGCTGCCGAGGTCGCCTAATAAGAGCGAGCGTAGATATTCAGGTCTTCGCTGTCGTTCGTTAGAGCGAACGCCTCGTAAACATATCTAATTGATGGTAAATGCGATGAAGACGCGTATTGCGCGCGTATTACTTTACTATTTTACATAACTCGACATAAATTTATGCAATCATATCTATTACACGAAACATGTGAGAAGAAGTGGAACAAGTAATTTCAATGTAAATTTCCAAGATTGTACCTGTGCGAACGATACTATCACAGATAAAATGATACCACCGTTTGTTGACATTCCACTTGTCGGAATGTTGCACGCGTTGCACGCGTTTCACGCGATATTGTTCGCTGACTACTTACGCATGACACGCAACGCACGCACTCCGTACAAACGTATAAATAATAATACGGGAATAATAACATCGGGAACTGTGT